GTCAAGTTGTAAAGAATGAGAACCATGGTTGGGAGAGAACACCAAGAGTGTGACCAAGCGAATGTTTGACAAGGAGATTAACATGGTAGAAGAAAGTCAGATGCTATTAATTAAGAAAATGGAAGAATGACCCCCAGGGTATTCTGGAGATCTTCAAGGCTGCCACTCCCATCACAGGCCCAAAGTGCCAGGCCCTTGAGGACAGAGTGATTTCAAAGCAGGAGCCCAGGGCGTCTGCGGGACCTTGGGGCCCACTTCCTAGTATTGCCTCAAGTTTCTGCTTCACAAATTCTGGTGCAGTGACCCACAACCACTTTGGGTATGGCTCCCGTGGGCCCAGGTACAATACATGTGGGAGAGAGTCCCCCCTAGGGAAATGTCTGAAGGAGCCATGAGAATAGGGCCATCTTTGTGACCCCAGATTGGTAGAGCCACCAACATGCAACATCAGCCTGGGAGAGCCACAGCCACATGACTCCAAACTCCGCTCATGCATGGGTTTTGCCCAGCAAAGCCACAGGGGTGAGGCCACCTGGGTAAACCCTAGTGTGTTCAGAAGATGGGACATGAAGTCAAAGATCATTCTCAAGCCTTAATATTTAATGTTTGCCTTGTTAGGTGTTGGACTTACTTGAGACCTGTTACTCCTATGTTTCCTATTTCTCACTTTTAGAATGAGAATGTACATCCTTTGCTTGTCCCACTATTGTAATTTTTTTTTCTTTTGAGACAGATTCTCACTCTGTCACCCAGACTGGAGTGCAGTGGCGCGATCTCGGCCCACTGCATCCTCCACTTCCCGGTTCAAGCAAGTCTTCTGCCTCAGCTTCCCCAGTAGCTGGAATTACAGGCACCCGCACCATGCCTGGTGAATTTTTGTACTTTTAGTCGAGACAGGGTTTCACCATGTTGGCCAGGCTGGTCTCGAACTCCTGTCCTCAAATGATCCACCCACCTCTCCTTTCAAAGTGCTGGGATTACAGGCCTGAGCCACTGTGCCCAGTCATTATTGTAATCTGAAAGCATATAACTTGTTCGATTTCACAGGTTCACAGCTGTAGGGGAAGTTTGCCTCAGATTGATCATTCACTGAGTCTCAGCCATGTCTGATTTAGATGATATTTAGGTGAGACTTTGGACTCAGACTTTAAAGTTGATGCTGAATTCAGTTAAGACTTTTGGGGCTATTGGAATGATATTAACGTATTTTGTAAGTGAGAAAAACATGAATTTAGGGGAGCCAGGGGCAGAATGCTGTAATTTGAATGTTTGCATCCCTCTAAAGTTCATGTTGAAACTTAATTTCCAATGCAACATTATTAACAGGTGAGACCACTAGGAGGTGATTATGTCATGAGGGCTGTGCCCTCATGAACGGGATTAGTGTCCTTATAAAAGGGCTTGAGGGAGTTCATCCCTTCTTCCATGTTTAGCCATGTGAAGATGCAGCAAGAAAGTGCCATCTTGGAAGGAGCCAGCAGCCATCAATTGACATTGAATCTGCCAGTGCTTTGATTTTGAACTTCCCAAGCTGTAGAACTATGAGAAATAAATTTATATTATTTGTGAATTATTCAGTTCATTGTATTTTGTTATAGCAGCCTGAATAGGCTAAGAGAGATAGTGAGAGTCAGACAAACAAATGGAAACACATCCAATGCTTATGGATGGGTAGAATCAATATTGTGAAAATAACCATACTGCCAAAAGCAATCTACAAATTTAATGCAATGTCCATTAAAATACCACCATCTTTCTTCATAGAATTAGAAAAAACAGTCCTAAAGTTCATATGGAACTGAAAAAGAGCCCACATAGCCAAAGCAGGACTAAGCAAAAAGAGCAAATCTGGAGGTGTTACATTATCTGATTTCAAACTATACCAAAAGGCCATAGTCACCAAAACAACATGGTACTGGTATAAAAATAGGCACATAGATCAGTGGAACAGAATAGAGAACCCAGAGATAAACCCAAATACTTACAGCCAACTGACCTTCAACAAAGCAAACAAAAACATAAAGTGGGGAAAGGACACCCTTTTCATCAAATGGTGCTGGGATAATTGCCTAGCCATGTGTAGGACAATGAAACTAGATTCTCACCTTATACAAAAATCAACTCAAGGTGGATCAAGAACTTAAATCTAAGATATAACAGTAAAAATTCTAGAAGGTAACATCAGAGAAACCCTTCTAGGCATTGACTTAGGTAAGAATTTTATGACCAAGAACCCAAAAGCAAAGCAAATGCAATAAAAACAAAAAATAGCTGGGCTTAATTAAATAAAGAGTTTTGCACAGTAAAGGGAAAAGTCATCAAAGTAAACAGACAACCCACAGAGCGGGAGAAAATCTTCACAATCTATGTATCTGACAAAAGACTAATATCCAGAATCTACAATGAGCTCAAACAAATCAGTAACAAAAAACAAACAATCCCATTGAAAGGTGAGGTAAGGACACGAATAGACAATTCTCAAAAGAAGGCATACAAAGTGTCAACAAACATGAAAAAAAATGCTGAACATCAGTAATGATCAGGGAAATGCAAATCAAACCACAAGGCAACACCACCTAACTCCTGCAAGAATAGTGTAATCGAAAAATAAAAAGATAATAGATGTTGGTGCGGATGCAGTGAAAAGGGAACATCAGCACTGCTAGTGAGAATGGAAACTAGCACAACCACCATGGAAAACAGTGTGGAGATTCCTTAAAGAACTAAAAGTAGAACTATCATTTGATCCAGCAGTCCTACTACGGGGTGTCTACGCAGAGGAAAATAAGGCATTATACAAAAAAGATACTTGCACACATGTTTACAGCAGCACAATTCGCAATTTCAAAAATATGGAACTAGATCAAATGCCCATCAATCATCGAGTAGATAAATAAACTGTGGTATATGTATACAATGGATTAATACTCAGCCATAAAAAAAGGATGAATTAATGGCATTTGCAGCAACCTGGATGGGATTGGAAACTATTATTCTAAGGAGTAACTCAGGAATAGAGTGTATGTTCTCAAGTGGGAGTTAAGCTATGAGGATGCAAAGGCATAAGAATGACACAATGGACTTTGGGAACTTGGGGAGAAAGTGTGGGAAGGGGGTGAGGGATAAAAGCTACAAATCAGGTTCAGTGTATATTGCTCAGGAGGTGGGTGCACCAAAATCTCACAAATCACTGAAGAACTTACCAAATACCACCTGTTCCTAAGAAACCCATGGAATTAGTAAGAAAAATTTAAAAAGAAAAAAGAGAGAGAGTCAGAATATGCAAATGAACAACAGCCAGGCCACATATGGCAACAGAACTCTGCCTCACAACCTCTGCAGCAACCATGCCAGGAAGCTAAACCACAGCCTCTGCAACCATCATGCCAGAATGGTCAGAATTTGATCAATGGTCCTTTAATGGTGTCTCTGTTTTTGCCTTCACTTCTAACTCAAGACCAGCCAGAGAAAGCCAAATACACTCCCTAAGCCAATTACAGAAGATCTTCTAGTTCTAGTTAGCGCTCTTCAACCATGCAAGCAGCCTCCAATCAGAGCATTTCCAAAGCCTCCTCACACTCCTGCTGCTGTAAAGCTCCCCCTAACTGCCTTTGAGTCTGTCAAATGCAGATGACTGTGGCTGACTCCCTTACTCTCGCCAGCTCTAATAAGTAGCCTGTGTATGCTTCCATTTGGGTGGTCTTTGTTTATTTTCAGGATAGTGAGCCTTTCACTGATGTAGGGGACACTGGGTGAGGACCGGAAGAGGAGGGTGAAGAAGAATGTGTTCAGTTCTGGACACTTAGATTAGAAGATGCCTTTGAAACGCTGAAAAGGATATGTCAAGTACAGCCTGCATTGTGACTTTCATGGAACCACGGCCCTTTTGCCTTCCTGGGTAATTAACTTCCTGCTTAAAATAATATTGAAACCTACATTTTATAACTTCATTGGTATAAAGATGGACATGTTAATATATACTAAAATATTTTTTTACTCAAACATTTATTTTTTTATTTTAAGAGACTAAAACATTTTTGTGAGTCTCTAAAATATTGAGGGGCAGTAGGCACTGTGCCTAATGGAGCAGTTGTCTCTGCTCAGGTAGACAATTATTATTTGTGTCTGTGTTATAGCGACAAGGTGGGAAGTCTGTGGGAGACACAAACGTGCAAGTTATCTTCTCTAGGTGATGACTGAAGCTCATGTGAGGAAGGACAGGTGAGCCCCCAAACTGGGGCTTAGCACAGGAGAGTTCTTGGCTTTGCCCGGGAAAGAATTCAAGGGCAAGCCAATAATGTTAGCAACCTTTTATTGAACACTACTGCTTCTCATGGAGCAGAGCTAACTCATAGGCAGTGCACCCAGAGCCAGCAATGTGTGGGCTGTTGGTAATCGTATTTATACTCACTATGGCCACTTTCAATCACATGCAAATTAAGGGGCAGGTCAATGCAAATCTAGGGGTGGTTTATTTATTACTTTCTAGTAAAGGAGCAGTAACTTCCAGATCATTGCCACAACATTTGTAAACTGTAAACTGTCATGATGCTGGTGGGAGTGTCTTATGCTCATGAGCAATGCACGCAGCTAGGGATTGCTTTTGTCGCCATCTGCTGGTTCCTGACAGTTTCTTCACTTCATCCTGTCGACCAGATCCTGCTTTGGACAGCCAGATTATGATTGGAAAACAAATCCTGCCCGTCTCCTATACTTCATATGAATGAGAGAGGAGCAGGCCAAGACGGTGCTTGATACTTGCTGATACTGAGGAATTGCTATTAGTTATATTTAGGAGTGGTACTAAGATGGTGGTTATATTTTTACAGTTCTTTTGGGGATGCACACTGAAACATTTATGGATGAAATGATACCTGAGGTTTGCTTTACAATAATCCCATGCATGAGGGTATGGATGAAACACTCGTTGTGAGCTGGTGATTGTTGAAACCAAGTAATGGGAACATAAGAGTTCTTTATAGTATTTTCTCTTCTGTTAGATATGTGTGATGCTTTGCAGAATAAAGTACAAAAATATGGGAGGAGAGGAACTGGGAATGTGAGATATCAGATATCAGCAGGGAGTTAACAGCCTGAGTAATTAAAAACCCTCCTGACACACCACACCTTTGCTTCACTCCCAACGAGCAGTTTAGGGAATTCTTAAGGAAGAAATCAAGGGCAGGTGTCTCTATTTCATGTCTAGGGACAGTGTAGAGAAATAGCACATAAAAGATGGTGAGATAATTTATAATTTAATGGAATCTTGGAGTTATAACCCACTAGGAGTAAGGAGAAGTAAGGTAAACTGGGGCTCCCACCCCAAATCCTGGGAGAGTGGAGTCACTCAGGACTTTCCCCACATTTATAATGCGGGAATGGTTTCAAAAAAATTCCAATTGAATTTTCAGATGTCGGGAACCTCCACTGACCTCTGAGTTGCACAATAAGCACTCAATAAATGGTAGGTACACGAAGAAGTGGGGGCAGAGGTATTAAGAAAGGTTTGTTAACCTGGATTTGGTTGAAGGAAAGAAAATGGTGGCATAAATGTTGACTGGCTTCTTGCAGTCACAAAGACAGGGTGAAGGCAGTCCTGCTTCTAGTCAAGGAGGCTAGTTCTGGAATGAAGCCTAACTGAGCATTAGCCATGCAACTGAGGGACGGTGTTAAAGAAACTTCTCTTCTGGGGTCGGCTGGGGGAGGGGTTTCGAATGCAGGATTTCCTGGTTCCCTGCCTCAGGTGGCTGGGGCTGTTTGAGCACCACTTCCACGCTGGTCAGGTAAAATTCTTTGGTAGGGTTCTTTTGTTCCAAATTCCCACTGAAAGCTCTGGGAAGAGGATGCTCTGTGACTCAGGGTTGTAAAACAAGTAGCCAATCTGGTATCAGAGAAGAAGATCAATCAATTCAGAGGAAGTTTGAAAGAACTTATCTTATTGGATGAGAACATGAATGGGGAAGGAATAACTCAAGGGTTAAAACTTCAGCTGCTCCTACCTGAACGGATTCCTTCTCTGGATTCCCTCCCACCACAGTGTGGGAGATGTCTTCTTTCTCTCTGATAAAAAAATCTTTGGGTCCATGATATTTATGAGAATGGTAAACTCACCATGCCTCCAGGGCCCCTTCCCTATTCTTTGGGGTTAGAGAGGCCAAGAACCTACGAGCTGAGTACTCCCTCCCTACCACAGCCTTGTACAAAGTACTTAACTTTTCACTGAAATGATGCTGTTAGTATTTACTGTTGTGATTTGAAAGTTCCCAATAAGTTAGATCTCTCCTTTCTCTGCCAGAGTTCAGGAACAATTAAGAGACGTAGACAGATGAAGTTTAAAATAATTCATTTACATGACCAGGTGTGGTGGCTCATACCTGTGATCTCAGCAGAAAACATAAGAAGTGGAGTTTTCAATCATTATTAATAGATGTTAAAAAGCTTCCACATCATGGAGTTTACTTCCTTCGCGAGCTATGATCCCAATACAAACACAATCCTCCTATCAAGAGGTAGAGTCTACTTCCCACTTCCTGAATCTGGGCTGGCCTGTGACTTGCTTAGTGTAGGAGACCAGAATATGCTACTCCAAAATATGCCTCTTTGGCATAAGGATTATTTTGAACTGGTTATTTTGAGTAACTGCAGACATAGGAGAAGCTCTGAAAACAGAGTAAAAGTTATTTTTCAATAAGGGAAATTTACATTTATAAAGGAAATCACCACTTATAAGAGTGTCTGTAACAGGAAGACAGGGATGAGTAAATCACTAGAAACTCATAACAATGGAGACAGCATGGACTTAAATCCCCATAACAAACCTCATCCTTGACTGTGCTTTTCTGGGCATCTCCTCATGATCGGTCTTCCCCAACACCTTTTTTTTCCCCCCAGTGGGATGATGGTATTTAAGCCTGAATTCAAAGCCCCTGTAAACCAAAAATAAATTTTAAGGTTCCCCCAATCATCTGAATAGACTCCCTCTCCAGGCCAAGGTCATTCCAAAGTTGACCTGAAAAATGAGTTTAGGCCATGATCGGAATGGGGAGCCAGGCATGCCTCATTATATCCTCCTCCCTTTTAGAATTACTGTAGACCAGATGCTTTAAATCTAACAAGAAACATTTACAATTTGTTCTCTCTAAAGCCTGCTACCTGGAGGCTTCATCTGCAGGCTAAAGCCTTGGTCCTCACAACCCCTGAGTGTAATGGGGACATGCCTTTCTATTGATAATTACTCTTTCGACCAATTGCCAATTAGAAAATTTGAATATGCCTATAACATGAAGACCCTACTTCCAGTTGTCCTGCCTTTCTGGACTGAATCAATGTACATCTTACCATGTATTTAGTGATGCCTTATGTCTCCTTGCATTAAGCAAGGAGAATCACTTAAGGCTTGAAGTCCCTGATGGCTTACAAGCAGGAGTTTTTAAAGGCAGAGGTACAGTTTAGAAAAGCAGAAGTTACAGACAAAATCATATGTCAACACACGGAGGTTTTACATTAATTTGGTCCAAAAAGCAGGCTATCTTGAAGCAGGGGCTAACAGGTCATAGATAGATAAAGAGATTTTTTTGATTTGCAATTGGTTAAGGAAGCATTGCTTTGTCTAAAACCTTGGGGTCAACAGAAAGGAATGATAAGTTTTGGCCTGTGGCTGTGACTCTCTGTCAGAGACGTTTGAACCAGAGCAACTCTGTCTTGAACAGGGACTGGGTAAAATAAGGCTGAGACCCACTGGGTCACAGTTCAGGAGGTTAGACATTCTTAGTCACAGGATAAAACAGGAGGTCAGTAAAAGATACAAGTCACAGAGACCCTGCTGATGAAACAGGATAGAGGAAAAAAAAGCCAGCCAAAGCCCGCTAAATCCAAGATGGTGATGAAAATGACCTCTGGCTGTCCTCACTGCCCATTATGTGATAATTAACTGCATTAGCATGCTAAAAGACACTCCCACCAGTGCCATGAGAGTTTACAAATGCCAGGGCAACCTCTAGAGGTTACCTTATATGGCCTAAAAGAGAGAAATCCTTAGTTCTGTGAATTCCCCACCCCTTTCCCAGAAAACTCATAAATAATCCACCTCTTGTTTAGCATATGATCAAGAAATAACTGTAAAAGCAGCCAACCAGGAGCCCTCATGGCTGCTCTGCCTATGGAGTAGCCATTCTTTTGTTTCTTTACCTTTTTCTTTTTTCCTGAGACAGAGTTTTGCTTTTGTCACCCAGGCTGGAGTGCAATGGTGCAATCTTAGCTCACTGCAACCTCTGCCTCCCAGGTTCAAGCGAGTCTCCTGCCTCAGCCTCCCCAGTAGTTGGGATTACAGGCGCCCACCACCACATCCAGCTAATTTTTGTATTCTTAGTGGAGATGGGGTTTCAACACTTTGGTCAGGCTGGTCTCAAAGTTCTGACCTCAGGTGATCCACGCGCCTCAGCCTCCCAGACTGCTAGGATTACAAGTATGAGCCACTGTGCCCGTCCTCTTTACTTTCTTAATGAACTTGCTTTCACTTTACTCTGTGAACTCACTCTAAATCCTTTCTTATGCAAGATCCAAGAACATTCTCTTGGGGTCTGGAAGAACCCCTTTCTGGAAACATCTCCAGGCCCATCAGGAAGAAATTTAGAACAAAAACTGGCAATCAGAGTTCAGTCCTCAGTTCCCTCTTACCTGAGGTCTACATGACAGTGGTCAGCATTTTCCAACTGCTGGGGGTCCAAGCTTCTGAAAAACAACTCAAGGACATATGTCAAATTGGTATCTTTCATCTTGGGACCTAACATCTTGTGACTCTAACCTATTTGGGTGACTATTGTTAAGTGATTGTTATCGTCTTGCTTGAATTGTTTCCTTTTTTTTTTTTTGAAATGGAGTCTCACTCTGTCTCCCAGGCTGGAGTGCAGTGGCTTGATCTCAGCTCACTGCCATCTCCACCACCCAGGTACAAGCAATTCTCCTACCTCAGCCTCCTGAGTAGCTGGGCTACAGGTGCATGCCACCATGCCTGGCTAATTTTTGTATTTTTAGTAGAGAAGGGTTTTACCATGTTGGCCAGGCTGGTCTCGGACTCCTAACCTCAAGTGATCTGCCCACCTCGGCCTCCCAAAGTTCTGGGATTATAAGAGTGAGCCCCCATGCTCAGCCTGTTTACCTTTTTAATTGCTGGTTGCAAGGCCTAGCTAGGTGCTTGGAATATCCCAGGCATTTTGAAGGGACTCAAAATCTTTTCTTTATTTCCATGCTTGGAGTGCCCAGTAAACTGCTAAGAGGGGTCCCTGTTCCATCTCATCACATCCAGGCCCTTAAGGGTCCCTAACTGTCTTCAGTGGTTAGCCTTTTTCTCCCTTATGTAACTCACCCCCTTCTTCCCAGAGGGTTTTACTTCCTAAGGGCCTGTCTGAGGAGGTGCTGGCCCATGGCCACCCTTGGTAGCAGAGACATGTCACAGGCGATAAGGGGAGGGAGCCTGAAGACACATATTCTGCCATAGTTTGCACTGCTCTTTCTTTTCCACCTGGGAGGGGTTGCCAGGTGCCTTCCCCACCCACCAGCTGCATGCATCTGCCTGCCTGCCTGCTCTCTATTGCCAAGGTGTGGTCTGCTAGGGCTTCCAGGATGCTGGGCATCCTGGGTAGGATTGCAAGACAAGGCAGGCATTGGGCTGGGTATGGAGAAAGTGGCTTGGTATGGAGGGAGCAGAAAGAAACTGTAGACTTCAATGTTCCCCACCCCCTCCAGATGCTGGGACATCATTATGGTAGATGGGCAGCTGCTCTGTGGAAAGGCAAGGGTGGCTGTGACTCAGCAGGTGGACATCAAAGGAAAGCAATAACAGACCTCAGCTAGCACAACTCTTTTTGTGTAATATCTCAGCAGGCAGGAATGTCCCGGAGCTTGGACCATTGGAAAACACCACCATGCTGGCTTCAGGAACCTTAAAATATGGCTAAAGTCAGGGAAACATTTCAAATTCCAGCTTCTCCTGGATTATTACCACATGATTGACTATTGGTGGAGAAAGAACAAGTGACTGCATCATAAGATTTCAGATGTACAGGGAAGGCAGTATAGACATGTGACTAGAATTGTACATTCCGGAATGAGAAAGGATTTGAATGCAGGACCTACCACTTACTAGATCTATGTCTTTGGATAAATTAACTAACCTCTCTGGGTTTCAATTTTCTCATCTGTAAAACAGAAAGAAGAACAGCCCTGTCAATGATGGCTCTTACTCTGGGCAAACTCCACTTGGTTCTGCTGGCCAATGGCCTGCTGGTATGCCGGTGCCTGTCAGCGGGCTCTTCTGCCAGTGTGCTCTTGACAGCCAGCCGCTTGTGATTTCTGCCAATCTTTTCCTCAAGACGTCCAGTTGCTGTGTCTCTGCTTTGCTAGGGTCTCGGATTTTTACAGGGCCTGCGAGGTCTTGGAAAATGCAACATTTGGGTGGGAAGGCAGAAGTGCCTGTCCTCACCAGGGTCTGTGAGGGTAGAGCCCTAGCCAGGGACCACACCCTCCTCTACCTAGCATTTCCTTTCTCCACTTCCCTTTTATTTAAAGGGACCATGCTCTTCCCTTCCCAGCACTCCCGTACCAGTAAGGGATAAAAGAATGTACCAAGACAGTTGTAGATAAGAAAGGCAGATTTATTAAAGAAAGTATGAAAATACATTGCCAGGGTGCAGCAGGCAGAACCAGCAAAAGAGGAGTGGACTGCAAGGAAATGAAGGTGTATTAGTCCATTCCTCATGCTGCTAATAAAGAAATACCAGGGACTGGGTAATTTATAAAGGAAAGAGGTTTAATTGACTCAGTTCTTTGGGGCTGGGAAGGCCTCAGGAAACTTACAATCATGGTGGAGGGGGAAGCAAATATGTCCTTCTTCAGGGTGGGGCAGAACCCAGAAGTGCCAAGCAAAAAAGGAAAAGCCCCTTATAAAACCATCAGATCTCGTGAGAACTCACTATCACAAGAACAGCATGAAAGTAACCACCCCCATGATTCAATTACCTCCCATGGGTTCCTCCCATATGGGAACTACAGTTCAAGATGAGATTTGGGTGGGGACACAGCCAAACCATGTCAAAAGGCTTGCTGAGGATTTTATAGAACGAAACTTGGGCTGATTGATAATGTCAAGGCAGCAGAGAGCTTAACTTGCATTCTTCTGCCAGCTGGAGTGTTTGATAAATTGAAGCGTTTGATGGTAAGCAGGAAGTTTAGGAGTTTTGTAAGTTATCGTGCAGGAGGGCCATATGTCCTGGGCCATAAACAAAACCAGCCCTGTAGCTTATCTGCTTCCTGTTTTTTGTTTATATGTTCTGTACCACGAAGAAAGGCAGACATATAGCTTATTTGCTCATTCTCTTTGCTTTTCCCTGGTCCACAAGCCTGACTCCTTTTCCCGAATTAGGACACCACAACTATCATAAAGTTTAATTTATAAATTAGGCACAATAAGAGATAAACAATGATAGCTAATAATAAAATAGAACAATTATGATAAAATACCATAATAAAAGTTATGTATTTTTGTGTGTGTCTGTGTGTGTCAAAATATCGCACTGTACCCTATTCACCTATTTTTAGACTGTGATTGACCTTGGGTAACTGAAATCTCTAAAAGCAAAACTGCAGTTAAGGAGGAACCATTGTATAGGTACAATGTGGCAGATTTCTAGCGCTTATTGATCTGGCTAGACTGAAACTTGATGCCTGTTGTTAGTAACTTCCCACTTCCTCCTCCCCTTAGTGGCTGGCAACTACTCTTCCACTCTTTGATTTTATGAATTTGACTTTTTAGATACCTCAAGTAAGTGGAATCATACAGTACTTGTCTTTCTGTGCTGGGCTCGTTTCATTTAGCGCAGTATCCTCAAGCTTTGTCCATACTGTCACATGTGGCAGAATTTCCTTCTTTGTTAAGGCTGGAGGATATTCAGTTGTGTGTGTGTATATATATATACATATATATAGATAAGTATATATGTATATATATATGTATATTATATATATGTGTATATATGTGTGTATATTATATATATGTGTATATATGTATATATATGTATATTATATATGTGTATATATGTATATATATGTGTGTATATATATATTATATATATGTGTATATGTGTATATATATATGTGTGTATATATATATCACATTATCTTTATCTGTTCATAAACATTTAGGCTGTTTCCACATCTTCACAATGTAACATCAAAAGCACAAGCAACCAAACTAAAAAATAAGTAAGTGAAACTACAATGAACAAAAAGCTTCTTCTGCACAATGAACAAAATCAGCAGAGTGAAAAGGCAACCCATGAAATGGGGAGAAAAGATTTGCAAACTATCTATTTGATAAGGGGTTAAACCAACATGTAGAAGGAACTCCTACAACTCAATAGTAAAACCAACTGAACAACAGCAACAAAAAAACTAGCTTACATAGCTTTGATCTCCATGGAGCAGCTATTGTAGGATGGTCTGCAGGACTGACTTGCGAAATGTCATAGGCAGCTCTACCAGGCACTGCAGAGTCACAGCTAAGGCTGGCTGGCTGGGACTCAGCAGCATCTACACTTACCTAAACAAGCTGTTTCAAAGCATCTCACTGGGCATCCCTTCAGCAGCAAGGCTGTAAATCATGCGTGTGAAATGCCAGACCAGGGCCACAGCCTGGCCCACACTCTGCAGTCACTTCACAAGGAAAGTCAAGACCCAAGAATCAGACTGAGGTTTGCACAGCCAGGATGAAACCTCTTTAAATGAGTTACTGTTGTCTAGCTCCTTAGGAGTTTTTATATTGAAAGAAGAGAAAACCCCAAGCTTATATTCCAAAAGAGATTTTTGTTTTTTGTGGACGATAAGATAAAAAGTGAGTTGCAGCTTAAAGGGAACAGAACCACTTTCTGGTTGTTTTTAAGGTGCAGGCAATTCAGTGGGGCCAGCTAAAAGCTGCCTCCATTCTGCTGTGGAAATGCCCTCTATTTAAAGTAATGTAAATCCAGCATGATATAAAAATATTAAGTCTCACTGTAAGGAAGTGACTTGTAAACTGTTCTCTTTTGCTGCCTAGCATCTGAGAGTGCCCCTTCAGTTAGCAAAGAGTAACCCTTCATTCTCCATGTCAGGAGAGCCATGATTATTCAGACATGAAATTCTGTGAGATTAGTGTTTATTACATTGTTAATATTTACTATTACTATAATTTGAAAGATTTTACACATCTTGTAAAAATGTTATTCAAGTGATGATGTTGCTAAAACTGGACTGAAAAAAATGCAACCATAAATCAGAAAGTCCAGCATAAAAGTTACATATGATAAAATGATATGAATAGGGAAAATTATTACTGTGCTATTAATTTAGGAGACTGCCCTATAGGAAAAATTAAAAATAGTGCTAAAAAAGGAAAAGCTACATTAAAGCAAACATGTGCTCCGACAGTTATGCATTTTTGTACTCCAAGAATGCATCTCTCATACTGTTTGTTTATTCCTAGGGAAAAATAAATCTTGAATTATGAGAGCGCTCCAAAAACTTGTTCTTTGAAAAAAAAATGACCCTCTCTGTATGAGACCATTTAGTTCACAAGAATCAAATTGTATGGTGGTACCAGTTGTTCATTTTGCAGAGCTAGAACTTGAACAAACGTAACTGTAGGGCAGACAATTGATCCTGAAAAATCATAACAACTATAAGGTAATTCATTCTTAGTCATTATGTCAAGATAAAAGATGGTATATGTGTGGACTCCACTTGTACATAGGAATAGATCTGTGAAGTGAAATTGATTGAACACAATTAGAATTCAAAATAAAATGCACAGGTATTACAGCTATGGAAAAAAATAAGTTTGCCTACTGATAAAGACAGGGACAATGTAAACTGATGTAAAAGGTTAGACATACAATGTAAAGGTGTATTCAGTGGATTCTCATTTCATTTGCTGTATAGTTGTTTGTGTGATTACTAAACGCAAATTGGAGTGGTAGTCAGGGTTGGAGGGTGAAAGGGAGAGAGGAATGAATAGATGAAACACAGAAGATTTTTAGGGCAGTGAAATCACTCTGTGTGATACTGTAATGGAAGAAACATGTCATCATACATTTATTCACATCCATAGAATATACACCACAAACAATGAACCCTAATGTAAACTATGGACTTTAGTTAATAATAATGATCAATATTGGCTCATCAAATTTTTTTTTAACAATTGTATCACACTAATGCAAGATATTAATAAGGGAAATTGGGGGGTAGGGAACGGAGGTGTATATGGGAACTCTACGTTTTTTGCTAAGTTTTTCTGTAAACCTAAAATGCTAAAACAGCAAAGAAAGCCTATTAATTTTTTTACAAAAATACATTAGTGGAAGAGGAGACTGCGGCAGGATAGATTCTTGGGGAAATCTTGACTCATCCACACAAATCAGGTTAAAACATGCTTGAAGTTTATTTTGCATGAAGCAGCATTATTTATTTTGCAAGAGCAATAAGGAATAAGAACCAAATGAGCAATAAAAATACCTTGCACTCATTGCCAAAATAAGCTTTCTCATTTGGTTGACTATCATGAACATTAAATCTATCCAGATGAATCTATTTCACCCTTTATAGGCAAAGTTCCAAATCTCCCTCAGCTTATTTATTAAGTAAACACTGTATCTTAGCAATTCTCACTACAGGATTCACCATATCAACAAACATATATGAAGGTGTTTAACAAAGTGCTTTATTGTTAATATCTTGTTGATCAGCAATAACACATTTCATTTTGTTCTGAGAACATACAGTTTTGCTCAGGCAAAGAACCAAGTCTTCAACTCCCTCCCTGTGGTGGGAGTTTGGCTAATTCAGGAGAACTCAAATTGGTTCTCCACAATCAGACTCCAACCTCCTCCAGGCTGAGAGCCACCCATATCCTTCTACCCCTTGCCACACACTGCCTTCTCTGCCTTGAATCATGGTCGTGAACTCAGGTCTATGAAAAGCATGACTTTATTCTCCATAACTCAGTTTGATTTCTGACTTTGAGCCTTTTTTCTGCCCACCCGGTTGGTGGAAAAACAGCCTCCAACCTTTCTGAATTTTCAAGAACCTCCCAAGTGCTAAAATGTTGAGCGGTGGGGCTGGAGGGCTGGGATTAGGAGATTATGGGAGGGAAGGTGGATCAGGATGATCCTCTGGGCTCTGGTCCGCATGAGCCCTGGTCCACATACCCTGCTAGGATATGTTCTTCACTATATATATTCCCTTTGGGTCTTGCAGCTTCCTGCTGCCTTTCTAGCCTGCCCAGGATGTAGGAGCCTTTGGTGAAGCTCCTTTAATTCTCTCTGCTTAGACACAGCCATTTTCTCTCTAGGGTTTTTTTCCTAAGTAGTGACCACTTGGCAAAGCCAGGCATGTTCCTTTCT